GCGTGGCGCTAAGGCGGGAGGTGGGGGGGGGGAGCGGGGGGCGAGCGGCCGTGGGTGTGAGGAGAAAGCGGCTGTTTCTCCGGTGGGAACCGCCCAAAAGGCCGCCGGTGGGGCGACCCCGCAGCCCGGCGCTCCTGAGGGGCGGCCCGTGGTCCCCGCCGCAGCTTCGGCCTCGCCCTCCCTTCGAGCAGGCCCTTTTCTCCCCTCACACCTGCCCGTGGCTGGCCCGGCCGCCCCCACGGGGCCCTGTCAGCCGGTGGTGGGCCGCCCTCAGGCCCAGCCGAGCCCGCCGAAGGGGCCGGCAGGGAGGAACGGCCCGGGAAAGCGCCGCTGCCGCCTCCCGGTGTCTGTCAGGCAGAGGTGGGGAGAGCAGGGACAGGTAGACGCGGCTGGAAAGGCGCTGGCCTGACCCTGCGCCCCGAAATGGCGTCCTTCGGGCCCTCTCCTGCCTCCCCCGGGCCTGCCCACCGAAACCCCGCAGCCCCGGCAGACACACAAGGTTAGGCGCGCATCTTGTCTTCAGTAGCAGTTGTGGTTTTGGCTGCACTGGGTGGACGCGTTACATCAGCTAATATTTTTCTAAGCATTAAACAGACGCAGGTATTCGTGCCAGGAGTTGTGGGGTGTTCACCTACTTCTTCGGTTTGTCTTTAACACGCACTCTACAAGCTACGAGACCTTCAGGGCCTGGGAGCCATTAGAGCGAAGGAAGAGAATGTATTTTTGTAATGAGAAGATGACTATGTTTTGTAGTGGCGAGACAGACTCTATTTAGCACAGCTTCTGAGAATGGTGTGTTTTCCCAAGCCCGTACACGCAGACGTCGGGGTAGCTAATAGATGGGTGACATCTGGTGGCCAATCCTGCTCCCTGGTACCCATAGAGGCTTCTTTCATAAGCAGCAGATCAAGCTCAAGGTAAAGGAAACATTTCTGCTTACCTCTACAACCTAATATAAATTAAAGGAAGAATAGGTATTGCTTTTAATAAGCTGCAGAATTTAGATCCATATCTGTTACAATAACCTTCACGTGCCATGAATCATCGGAAAATGGTTACACAAAAAAAAAAAAAACAAACACAAAAGAATCAAGTAAATGAGTATGGTTTTGGTGATAATTCAGAAAAACCTCTGCTAGTGTTTGGCACTGTTCATGTTGAGTTACTCAACACAGGGCAGAAAATTGTGATGTGGACAATGCATGGTGAAGGACACTTATCTGTACCCACAAGCATAATGGTGTGCAATTTGGAGTTTCACTTTTCACCCAGCATTATGCTGTGTTCCCAGTTGGAAACTCTCACTGGCATTAAATGAGAGACTAGGGATTTGAAGGTTTTACAAGGCATTGAATGATCAAAGCCTTGGACATCTTTCTGTGTAAGATGGGTAACTCTTTAAAAGATCTGCTATGATTTGTGGAACAGGCTTTTGTAACAGAGAAACAAAGCAGGTGAAATAACAGCATCTACAGTGCTTTCATTCTTTTCCATTTATGACGTTTTTAATTTAGGAAGTTCATGTGCAGGAGCTGACCTAACATTACAGTCACTTTTGAGTTGGAAATGTTCTGTTATAGCAATATTATATATCAGAAAATAACAGTGGGAAGGGAACAGCAGATGTTATTAGCTTACAGTTTTCAAACTGAAGTGTACCAACCAGATCGTCCATTCAGGAATAGGAAGTTACACTACATATTTTACAGTATGTACGTCTGACATAACTAATTAAAAAAACATGGCAGAAGTGAGCAAACTATGTGCATTGATTGAGGAAGTGAAAACCGCGTAGGAGAGTGGGCTCCCTGCTCAAGGAGCATTCCCTGATGAAAGATTGGGTTCTTGGAGCACAGGGAGCCAGAGACTGAACGAAGAGATAACATAAACCCCCGCAGCATTAGAGTATTAGGAGAATCTGAGAGCAACTTGGCACTTACATGTTTATCCCTCATTTCAGTGTGTAACAAGTAGGCCACCAATTATCCATATTTAGCTATCTCAGGCCTGTCCCACATTCAGTGTGAAGCTCACACTATTAAAACTTCACCCATCTGCTTACTCATTCTGTGCCCGTGGGAAGAGAGTGTGGGTGGAGGTCCCAAGTGAGGCTGATTAGGACTATTAAGGCCTGTTAATGCAATCAGGGCCCTGATGCTGGCATCTCATCTTGCCTGTTTGCTTCTCAGAGCCACAAGCTCTTTCTAGCTCCAGAACTCTGTGTACTGATCCCATCACCCTCCTGTACAGGGAGAAATGGCGTGGAAGTGTTACACTGCAATTTAGGGAGTCTCCTAAGAGTGCTCTATCTGTTCAAGGATCTGCCGGGAAGCATACTTCCTAGAGGTAGTCACAGTCTACCATGTGACACCACATGTTTAGCTGCCCTGCCTACAAACAAACACATCCTGTGAGCCAACATTCAGTGATCAAGGAGGATAAGTTGATAGGTCTGTTAGGCTCGGACTCAGGGTCTTGGCTGTACCTGTTGTTCATGGAGAACTTTTGGGTTACTCTGAGGTAGAGATATTCAATGTATCACCTCCTGATACTGTTTTCCAGCTTGATTTTTTTTTTTGTCCAAAACTTGTGGGTGTAGCCCTGCCCTGGGTGGATAACAGGAACTCCCTTGTGTGTGCGTGCCAGTCACAGTTTTGGATTAGTGGAGAACTCAGGCAGGCTGGGTTAAGAAGTCACACCTATACTAACTTCTGTTTTCTTGCTGTAACCTCAACATAAAAGGACCGAAATAGTCCTCAGAACACATTGAGTGTGGTGGGACTGTTTAAGAAGTGTTTATGTTTTGAGACCAATTCTTTTGCACTTCACTATACCGACTTTTGGAGAATTCTGATTAGGGAACAGCAGTAGGTGATAACCTAAGTGTGCAGAAGTCACCAGACCTAACTCCAGAATTGCTTAATGTCATCTTTAAAGTAGTGTACTTGTTGAATTTTCCATCTCTGCCCAAAGAAGATGTAACATGGAGAAATGCATTTAGAACACAGAAGAATTCTGTGATTATTCACAGACAATGACCTATATAAACCTTTCTTTAGGGAAGTATGTGTAAGCTGTGTTTCCTTTTGGCTTGTAACACTGTATAACAAAATTACAGCATGCATATCATAAAATTTAGTTTGCCTTTCTTAGTAGCGAAATCGGTTATTATGAGATAAATATTATTAGACAATATAGTTATAGAACATATTTTTTATATAGAAATCTCTTTCTTCTGGGATGGACTGCATCTAACATTCCTGCCTTTGTTCCAGTTGATAGCCCCTTCTTGTCCCAGGTAGATAGACACAGTGTTATACCATGTTATGCTTCTTGGGTCAGCATAGCAATAAAGTCTCCATCCTGCTGTACAGGGTTTCCTACCTTCTTTTATAAACCTCCGATATGGTCCTCTAAATAAAGTGTTAGTTGTTAGCTTTGCAGATACTAAGCATACTCTTTGGTGGTAGGCTGAGTATTGTATTATTAATGTTGAACATGACTTCAATAAAATGGAAATGGAGAAGAGGAAAAAGAAGAAGGAAAAACTGAAATTTGAACCAAAGATAAGATAAAAAAGACCTTCCTGAAAAGTATCTTTGTCGCTTTGTTGCCAAAACACAGTAACTGTGTCTTGAGGCTTCCAACATACGCTTTTAAAGCCTTCTGTTTGATGTCTCCCTCAGCTTTATTGATACAAATGAATTTACTGCAAAGTGATAACCAGCTCCAACCTTTGTGCAGGAGATCAGAAAACTTATGTGTTCTTGTTTGAGAATGTATCTTGGTTTTTTGTTTGATTGCTCTGATTTCCCAGGACCTCATATATGTTTTTTTGAAATACAGTACAATGTGATTCTGAAGAGGTGTCATTTTCTACCCTAATAATATTTTGATCACAAAGTGAAATCTTGAGGAGTCACCCTCTCCCTCCCTTTTGCTCCTTATTCACAATTCA